GTGACACACCAAAAGGTGCAACATCATACAATTGCAAAAGCTCTATAACATATTCTATGGATCTGATTTGTTCAATGCAAGATGAGTGTCCTGATCAATAGAGACATATATATGATTTTCTTTTGTGTTCTATAACAAAGTAAATATATTATTTGTGAAGTCTTCAAAGATTCTTATCTCTCCTTGAATGGGAACAAGGTATGTTTCGAAGTTATTCTACTGAGAGAAGTACTTTTAGTGATGTTAACTTCAGGACCAAAATCTGTGATGTGTTTATTGAGAAACGTAGTGATGTTCAACCAGATGTTGGAACATCATCACAACAGTTTGTTACTCTAGAGATTGTGGAAGATTATAAAGGGATAAGAGGCACTAAATAAGAAAAATCTCTAGAAAGCATTTTAAGAGGGGGTTCATTATTTGGAGTTTATTTTGGTATGTGGTCATCAATTGTTTAAAAGATGAAATATATAATGATTGTGAGTCTTGGAGTAAAAGCTATTGGCCAAGTCTGGAGAAGATTGTATTATTGGAGGATATTTTGGTCACTTGGATTAGAATTAATTGAATCCTGGTATATATTTAAGATTAGGTACATTGCTGAAGAAAGATGTATTTTCAATTGGGTTGATTAATAAAAGAGTGAAATGTCATAAAATTGTAGTGTGACATGCTACTGCAATTAAGGTACAAGGATTTTATTTTGCTCGCAGAATAAAGTCATTGGTTTTGTCATCATTGTGTCAGGGATCTTACTATTGGCTTATATTGACACTCCTAAGCTTGGTATGGCTGAGAAGCTTTATGAAGTATTTTCATCATAACTTGAGGTGTAAGTTACATTGAAAATATGAGAGGTAATTTTGGAATTGCACTGCTGAAGAATTATAGTAGTAACTGCTTAGACGGTATGCTGACTATATTGTTTCACCTAGTGGAGTGTACAATCTCATAAGAATCATTTTCAATAGCATGGAGAATGTCATTTCAATTGTTCTAACATTGTCAACAGTCAAAGCTTTGAAAGAGAGAAAAGTTGAACAAGAACATGTCTCTCTCCTATGGTGAGTGGTCCACTGTTTCTAAAGAAGATTTTATATCCTTCCAATAACACTTTCATTAACTGAATTGTCATTACAATAAAGGTTTCGTTACAATATAAGTAACTCTCCTTGTATTTAAATACCTTACAACCTCACCATCTCCACAAGCTGAGTTTCAACATGAGCAAATCTTCTAAAATTGCTTATGCAAAGAAATCCCTTCTACTGAAAATAAAGAAGGAAGTGAGTTCTGGTTTAAAGAGAGTAGTGTCCAACACTATAAAAAATGTTGAAACATCTACTAGAACATCTAGGACCAGGAAAACATTTGTAATCAAGGTGAAGTCCCTCAAGAAGAACCATGTACATATACATGATTCAGACTCAGATGCTGATAAAGATTTGGTCAGTTTCTTTGAATCATGAGGTTGTGTTGGATAATTGTTATATGTTATCTGTTTATAAAAAATAAAAATAAAGTGTGTTTTTTTTTTCTGTTTATTGAGTCAGTCTTGTTTAGAGTCTTGTGTTTTTGTTCTTTCTCGTTTGTTTTTGTCTCTTTGGAGAGACTTAGTTCTTTTTGTCCCTTTAGGCCAGTTTCTTTTTCTTCTTCTTCTTCTTGTGTTGAGTTTTCCTTGTTTGGGTGAGTATATATTTTTCTTTTGTGTCAGTTTGATTTTATTGGTTATGCATCAAGTTATAAAGTCAATTTTGAGTCTTTCTTTTATTTGTCTTGAATCAATTCTTTCTTATATTGATTCTTTTTATGTTAGTTTCTTTTCACTTTGTTTTTGCCAATTTTTGGCTAAAGATGGGAAGAAAAGTGTCATTGAGTCTAGTCAAGTGTTGTTATAGCTCAAATTTATTAAAGAAAGTCAACAACCTCCTTGCGTAATTTTTGTACGGGAACAAGTCGGGGTGGCGAGTTTCCCACTCTCCTTTTATCTAGTTAATCACAAGAGTTGAGTCTTCGTATATATCAAGGATCTTAATTCTGAGATCGAACGCTTCTTCAATACCTATAATGCAAGCCTCGTACTTCTGCCATATTGCTGGTGAATTCAAACATCAATCTTGCGGAAAAAGGAATATGAGTACCTTTAGGAGTAATGATAACTTCCCTAACTCCACTTTCATAAGTATTAACAACTCCATCAAAAATTAAATCCCATCGAGATTCAGAACCAGGCCCTTCTCCGAACACAGGTTCTTCACAATCTTTAACCTTGAGGAACATCACATCTTCGTATTGAAAATCATATCTGACGGGTTGGTAATCATCAATAGGTTGGTGGGCCAAATGGTCAGCCATAATACTTCCCTTTATATCTTTCTGAGTGCGATACTCGATGTCATATTCTGATAACAACATCTGCCAACGGGCGATCCTTTTGATAACAACCAAGTGGTGTGATTAATCATGTACTGACGTAGAAGCTTAGCAACCCAAGCCAAAATACAACAATTTTTATCAAGCATGGAGTACCGAGACTCACAATCGGTAAATTTGTTACTCAGATGATAAAAGGTGTGCTCTTTCCTTCCAGTCTCAAATTGTTAGCCCAACACACAATCTATAGAGTCTACTAACATAGTTAGATACATAATCAGTGATCTTCCTTCTACTAGAGGGATCAGGATGGATGGTTCAAGCAGATACTCCTTGATACTATCAAATGCCTTCTGACAATCTTTAGTCCAGATACAACTTTGGTCTTTTCTAAGAAGCTTGAAGATCGTCCCACAAGTAGCTGTCATGTGTGATATAAACCTGGATATGTAGTTCAATTGTCCAAGGAAACCTCTTATTTGTTTCTCCGTTTTAGGCGCCAACATCTTCTGGATAACTTTGACTTTATCAGGATTTACCTCAATACCTCTTTGACTGACAATGAAACCCAACAACTTTCCTGATCCTACATCAAAAGTACACTTATTAGGATTCAGGTAGAGTTGATATTTCCTCAAGCGCTGAAACAAATTCAATAAATTCTCCATATCGTCTTCTTCAGTTTGTGACCTAGGAATCATGTTATCCACATAGACTTATATTTTCTTATGCATCATATCATGGAATAGAGTGGTCATAGCCCTTTGATACGTTGCACCAATATTCTTCAAACCGAAAGACATCACTCTATAACAGAATGTTCCTCATGGTGTAATAAAGGCAGTCTTCTCCATATCTTCATATGTCATCGTAATCTGGTTGTAACCAGAGAAACCATCCATAAAAGAGAAGACATTGAATTTGGTTGTGTTGTCGAAAAACATATTAATATGTGACAATGGGAAATCATTCTTCGGACTAGCTCTGTTCAAGTCTCTATAATCAACACACATTCTGACTTTACCATCCTTCTTAGGAACGAGCACTATGTTGGCCAACCACGGAGGGTATTCTGACGTGACGAGGAAGCCTACATCAATCTGCTTTTAGACATCTTCCTTGATCTTTTCAGTCATATCGGGGTGAGTTCTCCTCAAATTTTTCTTAACTGGCGGACATTTTGGTTTCAACGGCAAACGATACTCCACAATGTTAGTATCCAATCCTGGCATATTCTGATAACTCCAAGCAAACACATCCACTTATTCTTTGAGAAGCTCTACCATCTTCACCTTAACATTTGTACCAAGCAGTGACCCGATATTGACTTTCTTTCTACGCTCATCAGAACCCAAATTAATTATTTTCAAAGGATCTTTATACGGTTGAATGACTTCTTCCTCGTGCTCAGAATAAATATCTACAAGAATCTCAGTCAATGTCTCTTCTTCTGCTTCGTACACATGGAATTCAAAGTTGAGAGAGGGTATATGGTCATAATTTTTAATGGGTTTATCATGAATTAATCTACTCATGTGGTTTATGCTTGATTTTAGAAATAGATAAATGCGGAAGTTATGTGCAAATGTTGAAAATGATTTTTTTAAGGTTTTTTAGATTACCCTTTTCCAAAAAAAAAAAAGCAAAGAATAAATGAAAACAACAATATAGGAGATAAAATGTCAGTTTATTAATGATTTTGAAATTTGAAACAAAATTCACGTTCGCATTAGGCAAAGCAAAAGGGTTTATTTCAACAAGCTTGACACATTCACTTTCACTTTGGGCATAGCGAAAAGTTTTCTAGAAACAATAATAAAATATTACTTAGAAATATGAATAGCAGATAGAATGTCAAAGACATCCAGTTCTGGGCAATCGCTCCATGCGTCACAAAGTTTGATAGATCTTCTTCAGGATCTTCTTCAAGGATGACATCAACTTCGGACAGAGCAGGGTTGATGAAACCCGCACTACAAGAGTTCTTGTATTGGTTGAATGACCGTGTTTTGCTTAACAGCACTTACAGTCGCAGAAGAAAAACTCGAACCTTCTCAGAATTTGTTCTCTGGAAAACTCAAAACACACCCCAACCTACATTTGCGCCACTCCTGACCACTTGAGCATCTTTCAAAGATGAGATGGAGGCTCCACTCTTCTTCACGTCCTTATCATCCACAGAAAGGGATTGAAATTGAGTTCCAATAGCTTCACCAGCATCGGTTTGGCACTACAAATTCAACACTTGATTCGAGTATGTATTGCATAAGTATGAAGTGAAAAACTAATAAATTTAAACTGGAATATGGAGGGAAAAGAAGGTTGATTCAAATTTCAGAGGAGAAGGTCATTACAAAGGTCATGTTCATTACCTTACAAAACATCTTTCGAAATACCTAAATCTAACTCATATACCATTACATATCCATTTATTACAACTACATTACAAGGTTTTTACACACCATTGTACATCTCGTGACATATTTAACAAGAAAAATCAATACAAAGCCAACTGTTGACCAAGTCTAAACTTTTGACCTTAGACTCCTAAGCATGTTCCTAAACCTATTTCTTCTCTTCTTCAAACCCAAGCATTATTCTTCATCACTTGCACCATTTTCTTCAAGTCATCTCTTCATGATTCGGTTTCCTACTACCATCACATTAGAAACCTGCATGACCAAGAATACAAAGCCACATCAAAATTCCATGACAAAAACCAATTGGCACATACATTAACTCACAACCTGCCATACATCATTTCTAGTAATACAAAAGAAATATACGCTGAGCACATACATACAGTTCAATACATCCCTATGCACAACCAAATTTCCTAAGTATTTCTGCCCATTTTGTTTTGTAGTCCACCCTTAACTACAATTCAAATACCTAGATAAATCCTTCATTTAACCCTCACTACTAAGTCGCTAACCATACCTTGTAATCTAGAAACGAAACCTGGAAATCCAAAAGAACATTTTGCTCACAATAGGCATGTTCCAATTCCACCTTATCATGTGAAGAATAACAGAATTTCAAACCACTACTAACAGTTAGCATTAAGCCCTGCAAATATCGTCGAAAACAGTTCATGAAAATCAACCACAAATAAACCAAACCAGTTAACATATCCAAATGCAAAGCTAGTTCAGAAAATCATTCAATAAAAGCAATTATCCACAAATTCAAACAAATTGAGCTGGTGCCATTAACTGTCAGTTTCTAACCCTTCTAACCTGCTTGAACCAACCCTCAACTACCTATAACTAACTTCAAACAGATTCTAACTGATTCCAGCTCATTCATGCTAACATCCTGACTGTTACTAAGTGTCATAACCTAACTATCAATAACAGAACATCCTGAATGTTAACTAACACCCAACTCTAAACCTTTTAACTGCAAGTTAACAGAAATAACAGAATCTCTAACTCCATAATAGAATGACAGCTCATCATAATCGATTTTCAACCTCTCTAACTGCAAAATCTCACCACTCATTTCCTAACCAATTCCCTCTCATCCAATGGCTTGTTTCCATAACTTCCTGCAACCTTCACTTCCCTCTAACAGATTCACTCTCCATGTTCTCCATTCACCTCAACCATTTTTCACCTCAAATTCACAAACGCACCATTCTCAGAATCTTTTCGCTCCACCTTCTTCATCTCCCTCTCAATGAATTCACCACTCTTCCTTCATCCTCTCACTCTCCATGAATCCAGTCCACACCCTCACTCTCTAGTTCTCTGATTTCTCTCTCAATTTCTCTTCATCTTCATCAAACCTCTCACTCTCTGAACACACATCACAGTATCGCATCTCCATCATCACCTTCATCATCGTTGAACTCCCTTTATCAACCAACTGCAACTTTCTGTTTCTCACTCTCACTGTAAGTCTCAAAATCACCTCATGAAGTACTTCATTCGGAAACAGATCAGCAATAATTACCTATCACCTGATAGGATTTCAGAAAGAAAGGAGAAGAAGATACGCAACAATCTGAAAAAAATTGAGCTAAGGAAGAGTACGAAGTAGTCACCTTAATCAAGATTGTCTGGATTTCTTCTACGAACGCCACGGTTGAAGAGCCATCGGAGCGACTCGGCAGGTAAGCCTTTAATCCTTTCTGATTCTTCATCTCTTTTACATTTCCTCTTCACTGTGTTGTAGCTTGTGGACTATAGAGTAGAAGCCCCGAGAAATCACGCTTATAAGCCTTGATGTTAGCATTTAATTTCATTTTCAAATGACTTAGGGTTTCTAAGCTCTCGGTTAGGTGTAGAAGAACTAAAGCAAAATTGATGAAAGAATGCGTTGAATTTGGTATGAGCGTGGTGGTACGAGTCGTTTGGCAGTGGTAATCGGAAACTTCGGCACATACTGACAGAGGCCGCGGCGGAGAGTTGATGGTGACGAAGATGAAGAGATGAGAGGGAAGAGAGTTGTTCGAAGAAGCTCAAGAGTCCTAACTTTAACCTAACAACAACAAAACGCAACCGTTTCTCTATGTTACAATTTGTCATTTTTCTTTTCATTTTTTAATACAATAATGCTGAGAAATGAAACAAAAATGAATAAAAATCCGGATTGTGTTGTTGGACTGGATTGTTGAACTTTGGGCTTCACTTCATTACGCCTAGGCCCATCACCATCAATTTTGGTATGCTAAAGCTTGTGTAACAAAAAACTGGTTATGGACCTATTTTCTGAGTGAGCTTAGATGTTGCTGGTTCACACCTCCTGCTTGTTGCTTGCTTCCCATGGCTTATCTTATTGCATTTATTTTTTGATTGATTTTGTTAATTGTTTAGCATTGTACAATTTTTCTTTGCATGAAAAAATGACATGAAAAATAATAGAATAGCATTTTAATTCTTTTGATTTTTGTTTAGATGTTGCTTGTGTGATATCATGCTCCCTTAGGATTTTTAGTTCTATTTTAATCTTTTGATTAAATTGAATTAATTAGACTTTAGGCTTGTAAACCATGCATGACAACAATTAAGTAGAATTTTCCTTAATCCCAACTTTAGGACGACTGTTGCATGCCAACATTAGGATTAGTTTTCCTTAGTCTTTTTTTTTTATCTTGCATTGCATCCTAAAACTAAAACTTTTTCTTAATCAAAAATCCAAAAACATCTAACATTACTCAAACACTTTCAAAAATAAGGGAGAAACACTTAGATACCCCCACCTTCTGAGGGACCATCTAATGTATTCTCCTAACAAAACACTTCGCAAATCCAAACTCTTTTGCCTTAGGGCTTTTCTTTGAACTTTTCTGAAAGAACATGCTAATCTCATTTTATGCAATGCGTGGGTCTCCAAAGATTGAGCAGCAATAGTATGCAAACTTAACATTGTTCATAAAAAACACCCAACAAACTAACATTTTTTAGAAGAACTACAGTGCTCTGATTCTCTATTGCACGATGGGGATACGTATGCACGAGGATTAGAAACCGAGGCGAGCGCAATAATTAAAAAACTTTTCTTTTAACAATTCATTCATGCATTTCCCTTAGCAAGTAAGCATTAGATATAACACACCCCCTTGATTATAATAACAAGAGTGGATCCCGTGAAGTACCACGGACGTGAGGGGTGCTAATACCTTCTCCTCGCGTAATCGACTTTTGTACCCTTTCTCTTGGTCGCAAGACCATATTATCCATTTCCTTTGGGGTTTTCTCGATATTTTCCATTCCTCCAGGATACATAAAGTTTGGTGGTGACTCTATGTTTTTTCGCAGCGCGACAATAATCGATGAATTTCTTACTCAAATAATAGATGGTATGCTCTTTCCTTCTAGTCTCATCTTTTTGGCCCAACATACAACCCATAGAGTCTACTAACACGGTTAGATACATTAATCAATGGTCTTCTTTCAACTGGAGGGATCAGGATGGGTGGTTCAAGCAGATACTCCTTGATACTATCAAATGCCTTATGACAATATTCAGAAATACAACTTTGGTCTTTTTTGAGAAGCTTGAAGATTGGTCCGTAAGTAGTTGTCATGTGTGATATAAACCTGGATATGTATTTTAATCATCCAAGGAAACCTCTTACTTGTTTATCCGTTTTAGGCATCGACATCTCCTGGATAACTTTGACTTTATTAGGGTTTAACTCAATACCTATTTGACTTACAATGAAATCCAACAATTTTCCTGATCGTACACCAAAAGTACACTTATTAGGATTCAGGCAGAGTTGATGTTTCCTCAAGCGCTGAAACAACTTCAACAAATGCTTCATATGGTCTTCTTTAGTTTGTGACTTGGCAATCATGTCATCCACACAGACTTATATTTCCTTTTGCATCATATCATGGAACAAATTGGTCATAACCCTTTGATACGTTGCACCAACATTCTTCAGACCCAAAGGCATCACTCTATAGCAGAATGTTCTCCATGGTGTAATGTAGAAGGTCTTCTCCATATCTCCAGGTGTCATCCTAATCTGGTTGTAACCGGAGAAACCATCAATAAAAGAGAAGATATTGAATTTGGTTGTGTTATCGACCAACATATCAATATGTGGCAATAGGAAATCAACCTTCAGACTAGCTCTGTTCAAGTATCTATAATCAACATACATTCTGAATTTACCATCTTTCTTAGGAATGAGCACTATGTTGGCCAACCACTGAGGGTATTCTGACGTGACGAGGAAGCCTGCATCAATTTGCTTTTTAACTTCTTCCTTGATCTTTTCAGCCATATCTGGGTGAGTTATCCTCAACTTTTGCTTGACTGGCGGACATTTTGGTTTCAACGGAAAATGATGCTCCACAATGTTGGTATCCAATATTGGCATATCCTGATAACTCCAAGAAAACACATCCACTTATTCTTTGAGAAGCTCTACCATCTTCACCTTAACATTTGTACCAAGCAGTGACCTTATATTGACTTTCTTTCTACGCTCTTCAGAACCCAAATTAATTATTTCCAAAGGATCTTTATATGGCTGAATGACTTCTTCCTCATGCTCAGGATAAAACTCTACAAGAATCTCAGTCAATGTCTCTTCTTCTGCTTCGTGCACATGGAATTCAAAGTTGGGAGAGGGCATATGATCATAGTTTTTAATGGGTTTATCATGAATTAATCTGCACATGTGGTTTATGCTTGATTTTAGAAATAGATAAATGTGGAAGTTATGTGCAAATGTTGAAAATGATTATTATTATTTTTTTAAAGCTTTTTTTTATTACCATTTTTCAAACAAATAAAAGCAAAGAATAAATAAAAACAACAATATATGAGACAAAATGTCATTTTATTAATGATTTTGAAATTTGAAACAAAGCCCAACATATTCACTTTCGCCTTGGGTAGAGCGAAAGGGTTTATTTCAATAAGCCCGACACATTAACTTTTGCTTTGGGCATAGTGAAAGGTTTTTTAGAAACAATTATAAAATATTACTTAGAAATATGAGTAGCAGATGAAATGTCAATAGACATCCAGTTTGGGCAATCACTTCATGCGTCACAAAGTTCAGTAAATCTTCTTCAGTATCTTCTTCAAGGATGACATCAACTTTGGGCGGAGTAGGATTGATGAAACCCGAACTGATGAAGAGTTCCTATATCAGTCGAATGACCATGTTTTACTTAGCAGCTCTTGAAGTTGTAGAAGAAAAACCCAGACCTTCTTGGAATGTGTTCTATGGAAAACTCATAACACACCCCAACCTTCAGTTTCACCACTCTTGACCACTTATTGAGCATCTTTCAAAGAAGATATGGAGGCCCCAATCTTCTTCACGTCTTTATCATCCACAGAAAGAGCTTGGAACTAAGTTCCAATAGCTTCACCAACATCGATATAAGAAAAGATGAAAAATGGCTCACATCCAAAGCCTATTCTACTCCAATTATTACCAATTTCTCATTGTGAATTCCAACTTTTGATGAAGTGTAGAAGTTGTCAGTACCATGTTTTATGGATTGACATAATTTTTTCTAAAACATGGTTTGCAGCCATATGTTAAAGAAGATGTTCTGACAGATGTTGTAACATCTTGGTCCAACATCAGTACAAGTTGTTTATTCTTGAAAGATCTTTAATTGATTCTATCATATTTAAGTTGTTTTTATCTCATTAATTTATCGCAGGTCAAGAATTATAAATTTAGAACAAATAATATCTCAAGTTGTACAAAGGTTGCTATAAATTATTGATTGAGACTATTTAGGAAACCTTGTGTTTTTGTTCCAAGATTCAAGGAGATTTTCCTGCACAGATTGGTGCAACCCTCAGTGTAGACAACAAGAAATATTTGGGCGCAGATGCAAGGCTCAAGGATGGCTGAGGAGTATTTAAAGAAACTACCTAGACCTAATATCTTTAAGAAATTTGTAAAAATAAGGGGAAGCCAAATTTTCTCAGTCTTAGGTTTTTAGGGTTCTTCAAGAGGTTCCTATTTTTGTCTGTATGCTCTCATGTATCTTTTAATGCATTTGAGTTGACTGATTGTTTCTTGATAGTTTATCAAGTTATTATTCTCGCTCTAAAGCTTTTAAGCGAGAGTTTGAGTATTGTGATTATTGTACCCCAAAATTTTCCCTCTCATTTTCTCAATATTTCTCTCACAAGATGTCCATTGGTTCAAGAAGGCACAAGGATGGATCAGCTCAAGACACCTCCTAAAGCACTAATGACTCAAAATTAGGGTTTGAGTTTGCATAAGTACAATTGGAATTTTAAGGTCCCATATGACTTTCATGGATCATTTTGGACTCTCAATATTGCCCATGTCAAGTTTCAAGCTTTGGATCACATTTTTGCTCAGTCAATTGATCAGTTGACCTAAAATCAACTATATTGGGCAAAAAGTCAATTGTGGTCAATTTACAATCAAACTTCATAATTTTTTATCCATATCAATATTTTGAACTCATATATGTCAATTGGTCAAGTTTGGATCACAATTCCTCAAGAAATTTGATCATATCACCAAAAGGGCAAAATGGTCAAAATTAGGGTTTTGACTAAGAAGACTCAATTTTTGACTTTTGACCAAATACATGACTTATTGGTTTGAGATATGATATCAAGGACTCAAATGCATCATCTTGACCTAATAGCATGGTTCAAAACACTTCTCAAGATCAATTG